CTCTAGTCAATAAACAGCGAATCAGTTACTATTCTGCTGTAAGCCAACCATTTATAACTTTATGTCAGGTGTTATTTCAGTTCTAATTCTGAAAGTTAGGATGTTTTTTTTTCATTTTTTATCATCCTAGATTTAAATCCATTAAGCAGGTTTTAGGTTTTATTTATTTTTAAACATACTTGTTTTAAATGTGCCAAAAAATGATTATTAATTTTTCACTCTCTCAGGAAAATATGCCACTTTGATTCAAATCTTTCAGGAATTAATTAGTTATTTTTGAAAATCTATAATATTAGTTAATAAACTCATAGCTTTTATATATTTTAGTTGCATTTTCCCAAACTATATCCCATATATTTGGCAAACTGTAAGGTTTATTTATTTTAAACACTTAAGGGATGAAAATTTCTGATTTCATTGTTTATATGTTTTAAATGATATAAGTAAATAATAATATTTTTGGAGGAAAGGAAAATCAAATTCTCTTAGTTTTTCATTTAGAGAAATCTAATTCAGATTAAACTGACACATAACTTTAGATTTTATCCTATTGGATTATATTATTCATCTATAAGTTGCTGTTTTGTTTACATTTTCATAAGTCAGAGCAACCATCACCTTTTCTCTGTCTTAGTCAGAACCTCAGACATTCATGGCACAGGGACAAAGCAACAACCACAAAATCATGAAGAGATGAAGCTAATCTCTCCAGTGGCTGCTGTGGAAATAGAGAATTTGGTTTGTGACTAAAACCTGTGCGCATTTCACAACTACTGTGTCAGACCATGTTTGGACCCTTTTCTCTCTCTGGATTTGCCTCAGTTTTCATCTCCAGGTCCGTCCATAACATTATGGAACATGGTGACAGCAGGAAATGAACAAAACCAGACCCGTCCTGTTTTTAAACAACCACAGGCCTGATAATAAACGTTTTGTTTTCCAGTCCTGAAGCCGACATAGGAAAAGACAGTTGTTGCTGAGATTCTCTCTTTTAAAAAGATAATTTTTGGTTTAGATATTTAAGGTTGGTTCTAATTTGATCAGAAATTACACTAAAAGAATCATGGTTTAGTGAAAGCCAACCAGGCTGTTCATTCCTTCAGTCACCTTAAGTCACGTTCCCTTCTCGTCACAAACTTTTCTCATCTAATTTTCTCAAATTTTGTTTTTATCATCAACCTTACTTTTCTCTATTTAATTTTGTATGTTTTCTTTATTTAATTTCAGGTTAATTCCTCCATTTTATTCTATTTTAAGTTTTTTTTCGGTTTTTAAAGTTTTAATTTGACCGTATTTTATGCCCTACTTACTTTTTTTCTCTAATAATTTAAATAGTTTTTTATTTTTAGCTGAGTTATTAACTTCCTGTAAAAATTGAGAGAGTTTTGTTTCTTTAAAAGCACCATTGAAATTAAAATTCATTATTATAACTTAGTATAGTGTAAGTTTAATATGTAATTCAGTGTAAATAAGTTCAGTATCAGGTTTAAACACTCTTTTTTTTTTTTTGACTTCTTATTGTAACCTGTTTCATTTTGAAGCTGAGAGTTTCTTTGAACTCTCCTTTTAACCATCTATCATTTTAAACTGTTTTCTTCTCTTTTTTCTTTTTCCATTTTTTTTTTTTTTCAAAATCTGTAAATTTCTTACCTTACCTTCTTTTTAGCCTCTAACTTCTCACGATATTTGTTTATCTTATCTTTAACATTCTTGTCTATTGCAACATTAAAAGAACCCTACTTTCTCTGCAATTGATCAAAAATTTCTCCTTGGGCAGTTGACAATTCCCTGGAACCTTGCCTTTTGTTCTACTCCTCTAGAACTGCAATTCTGTCCCATTATCTACAGGTAATTTACCGGTTTCCAATATGCACACCATTCCTCTGGCTGCCGACCTGGATAACTGGGGGGGATCCCACTCTAGATTACCGACGTCTCAGTAAAATTAAATGCCTTCTGGTGGCACCTACAACCTTCCTCTCACCCTTGGAGAGAGCCTCACGTTCCTATGCAAGGTCTTTTGGTTCACAGGTGGAACAAAAACCTGAATTGCCTTTCTGCTCCCCAAAAAGGAAAATTATCTGTTATTTCATATGTATAATCTGTAGTATTATACAAATTTTAGTGCATTAAAATAATTAACCTATTAATTAGTTTCTTGCTAGATTATAGTTTTAATGGAGAAGAAAAGGACTTTGTTTGAACAAATTTTCCAGAATTTGATTTCTAATTATCTTTAAATCTGTAAACAACCTGTTGTTTTGTGATTTAGTTTTTGAAATCTAATCTAAATTGTGCCGACAAAAGATTCATCTCACCGTCTCAAAAAAAAATGGTTGGTTTTGATCCTCCTGCTGACCTCCAGGGACCTCGATGCCAGAAGTCCTCACTCCCTTAACCTTCTAACCGGGGTATCGAGGCTGGAAGACTGCTTCCTCCAGGCGGTACCTGACACTTCTGACAATCGCTGTCCTCAGAAAAAATCAGTCAAAGAGAACTGCCTTGACAACGCCAAATTGTCGTGGGAAAAAAGTATTCAACTATTCATCCTAGTTAAATAAACGGAGATCGATGGATTTCACTCAGTCGGCACATTTATTAAAATCTTTGCAAAGAGAGAACAGTCATCATGGCACAGCATTCTGCTCTGTTCTGATCTGGGCAGGGTTCGTTCCCCCCTAGTTACAACAATGGAAAGCAGTCAGAGTCATAACAAATTACACACACTTTGAACAGTAACATGTTATGAATAAACCTTGAGAAAGAATCTGGATTGTTATGGGAAGAAGCTATGTCTGGTCTACAAACAACATTCTGCAGGGAATGGTGTGGCCTTGAGAGAGAAACAGACTGAGTGAAAACTTTTATAGTGAGTAAATATGAATATTAATATATAGATGAGATAAAGATATAAATTTTCCCACAACAGCCCTCACCCTTAGAGCGTCACCACCCTTAGAGCGCCCTCACCCTTAGAGCGTCACCACCCTTATAGCGCCCTCACACTTAGAGCGCCCCCACCCTTAAAGTCTCCCCACCAACTTTTATCACAAAGTTACACCCTTGATGTAGGGGTTTCATTACTTGAAAAGGTTTGTCCTGATTTAGCCTCCTGTCTCTTTACTCCTGATTTTGGAGCAGAAAATCCGAGCTGTGGCAGGATTGAGCTTTAGCAGAGATGGACGGGTGTCAGTTGGCAGTCTCATAAAGGTGGAAGTAAAACCTGTGTCTGTTTGTGGGACACTTGGGTGACAACAAGACTTAAATGTCAGCCCTCTCGGGGCGTGATCTGATTCTGCAGCAGGCTGTCAAACACACATTCCCATGTCTGGACTTCTATCTTTATCAGGCCTGACAGAATGGATTCATGGCCTCCGATGTCATCTTTATGTTTTAGGATCCAGTCCAGCCATGAATGCAAACAATACTGTGTTTAAGTCTCAGTTTCATGAAGGTCATGAAAACATTGGCACCTGTTCAGTCAGTCCAACTTAAACCGTCTGCTCTGAAATAAAGCTGGGAAATGTTAGACACTCACATGATGACAGGCAGTAAAGTACGATTGTGGACAAATATCCTGATTTTGTCACTATTAAAACATTATGATGAACTAACGGAAAATAAGAGAATAAACCAGATCAGATCCCAAAGAGGCCAAATTACACAGTTCTAAAAGCAACAATAAACAGAAACAAAAAATAAAACTCAATTCAATTCAGTTTATTTCTAGACTTAGACAACTTATAGTGTCGTTTTGTACACACAGATTGTATACAAAACAATTTTTTTAACAGCTTTAATGACATTTCCATTTCTTAAAGTGCGTATAGCACCAATTCACATTTTGTCATCTCTGGTCACTTTTTCTTGTTTTTGTTTTTTCTGCTTTTTTATTGTCATTCCACTGTCACAAGTACAGAGCAAAGAAATTCTCTGCATTTAACCCATCCCTTTGGAGAGCAGTGGGCTGCCATTGTGCAGCGCCTGGGGAGCAGGGGGGGTTAAAGGTCTTGCTCAGGGACCCAGAGTGGCAGTCTGTAGGAGTGGGTCTTGAACTCAGAACATCAGGATTCAAAGGTCTATGCCCTAACCACTAGGCCACCACTCCCCCAACTTTCACTAAGCATGCTTGTAGCGACAGTGGAGAGGAAAAACTCCCTTTGAACAGGAAGAAACCTCCAGCAGAACCAGGCTCAGTGTGAGCGGCCATCTGCTGAGGCCCACTGGGGTTCAAGGAGACAGAAGCAGACATAGAAAAAGAAGCATAGATACAAAAGGCAACTGTCAACCAGCTCCACAGGCGGCCCCGTCCAGGAAACACACAGCCAGGCAGACGAGCTCCGAGCCAGCTCCCATGTCAGAGGATAAAGAGAGCACATCCAGTTAGTCACAGTCAGAGAAACAGGACTACACTGGAAAACAGGCCAAGCTCCAACATCTAGAAACAAAGGTGTTGATGGAACTGAGTGAAAGCAACACCCACCTCTGTTTATAAGTGACAGAAACATGACTGAAGAAGCAGGGAGATTAGCCCTGAAACTGATCTGTGTTTGTAATGATGTCATGCAGGGTCTAAATAACTGTGTGTGTGTGTTGGGGGGGGGGGGGGGGGGGGGGCATTGAAGAGTCAGTAATTGTCCTTGGTGCTGACATCGTTTTCTCAGTCCCTGCAGGATCTTAATGATAAATCAGTTTAACAGAACCACAGCAGCGTAGAGTTCTGGTCCATCATGAGGGGATGGACAGGGTGTTATGGACAGGAGAAGAAGAGACACCAGAACCAGATGGAGAATTCACTTCAACCTGTTCAGATGATCTGATAAAGGTTACCAGGAGGGTGAAAGCAGCTGATGCTTAACAGCCAATCAGCTCGCAGACATGATGGAGGTAACTGAACCCCTTCAAACCAGCCGTCCTCTCTCATTTCCTGCCTCTTCTCCTTTTCTGGAGTTTCAGCTGGACTTCAGGGATGTTTAACAGAGGAGCAGATTAACGGTGTC